TTCCCCAGCCAGCCATGCTGGCTGGGGAATTCTGGGCGGTGAAGTCCACTCATCTTAAAGTGGCCAAGTTTGGACAACACTGCTCTAGGCCAATTGTGACTGAGTGGATCTCCACCCATGACTGGCCATCTCACCTCAAGACTTCTCTTCCTCCATGCGCCACAGATTGCCTTCCATGTTCCCAATGGAAATACTCTTTTCATGCCAGCTTGCCTACCTACCTTAGACCAGCTTCAGCCTGGCTTAAGGTAGCAGTGAGGTGGGGATTCCGTTATGAGGGAATGTCCTCAACAAAGAGCAAGTGGAGCCTCTTCATGCTGCAGTAAGCTTGTGTGTGTGTGAGCCCTATGCCCCTCCTTTCTGACATAAGGAAGTGGGGAGCTCAAGAGATCATTACATGGAGGGAAAAACCCTGTAAGCTTGATCTCCTCAAAAGAGGCAGCTAAATTGTTAAGGCTTATAACCAACCAGCGCTCTGGGCCAAGACTGATAATTAACCTTTGAAGTTTCACAGAAGGTCTCCTTAGCAAGGAAAGTGATAAAGCAAGGAAAGTTTACCATAAAGCAAACATGGGAGAAAGTCAATTACACACACTCCAACTTGGGTCTGTGTGTGTGTGTGAGAGAGAGAGAGTCAGTAGTAGACAGTTATGCAGTGCTGTTACCTTGTGCCTATTCCTCAGAGGCAAGTCTGTTCTACTTCAGTGGGACTCCCTAGCAAATGTGTTCAGTATTGAAGCCTGAGGCTTTGTAAGAGTTGTGGGGATATCGTTCTTTAAAGTAATTCTGGCTCTTTTAAAGGACAGAATAAAATAGCTAGAACCTCACCGAGTTTTCAAAATGGCCAGTGCAGCAGACTAAATCAGTTGTCTAAGTGTTCACAGCTTCAGTCAATAATTAGGCCTGCAATCCTATGCTTATTCATCTGGAAATAAATTAGCCATTTGAACTAAATGGGGCTTTCTGGTTATTACAATCTTGAAAAAGGAAGACAGGGAGCTGGTGTATGGGTTTAAGGAGAATGCATCTTTCCTTGCACAGTCAACCAGCCCATTAGGTGAAAAGCAAGGCTGAACGTTCTCCCTTGAGGTGCTACCTTTCTAGACGAAGGGAGCTCATTCCCCTCTCCTGTTTTGAGCTATCCCGAACGCTGCATGATTTTGTTCCACGGTCCTTCGTTGACCAACCCCTCAAAGGGGTTCAACCTCACTCTCACTCCACAAGTTACCCTAACGCAAAAGGATTTCCACGCAGCTGAAAGTTACAGCGCCTGCGCAGGGAATGGAGACCCACAGACGCCAGGCGGGGTTTAGCTCGTATCCTCCTCTCCGCCCAGGCTGGCCCCCCTCCACGTCGATTAAAGATGCCCCTCGGGAGTTAGCGGAACGCGTCCGGCTCGCCTTCGCCAGGGAGCAGCTTGGCTCGATTGTCAGTTGCGAAGGGTGGAAGGCGAAGACAGGTTGGTCGGAGGGGAGGCCGGCCGGCGGGCGACCGCGGGGCTGCCGGAGCTTGGGACAGGAGCAGCTGGCGAGGAAGCGAAGGAGGCAGCTGCTTCCTCCCTGCTCTTCCTTTTCCTTCGCTTTTTCGCCGGCAGCGGCTGTCTCGCTTTCCGTCTCGCGGAGCCCAGAGGGATCCGCACCCACGCCGGTAAGAAGGGGGCGCCGGACGCCCCGTTTGCGCGTCTCTCTGTCGCGGCGAGCTGAACGGGGAGAGGAGGCGGCAACTAACTTGGCGAACTCGAGGGCCGGGTTAGCGTCTCTCCTTCAAGCCAGGAGGGGCAGCGGGGGGGATTTATTAAAAATTAAAAGTAGGAGGGCACAGAAGTGAAAAACCTTTCGCCTTTCCTTGTGCTTTGGCCCCAAGATTATATTTCCCCCTTTTCTCTCGCGGGTGTTCATCTCCATTGTGTGTGAGCACCCCGGGGCCTGCTAGCTGAGGGAAGGGCGCGTCGTGCCTCTGATTAAGGGGGGTCTAGCGTCCAGACTCCGAAACTGCGGGGGCCACGTTGGTGTTGAAGGACCGCGGGACCAGCCCAGCGAAGCTAACTTCGTAGAAACCGCTCTGCGGCTACAAAGTAGCGTTATCCTTTGGGGCTTGGTCGCATTGGCTTCCTTTGAAGATTGTCTGTTAACTTAAGTCAGTGTTTTTCAAACTTGGCAACTTTAAGATGTGTGGACTTCAACTCCCAGAATTCCCCAGCCAGGG